GGTGCTGCTTTGCCTTCTCCTCCCTCCCCTGCTCCGAACTGAGGCAGGGCTGGGCAGTGCTGCAGGCTGCAGCTGCCTGTCCAGCCCAGCTCAGAAACCTGGGTCACTGCCCGAGTCCCTCTTCTTGCTGGGACCTGCCCCGGCCGCTGCTTTGGCCCCAGCACTCGGAGGGTTTGGTGTGGAGCAGCTCGGTGCTCCGGGAGCTGATTCTGCAGCGGCTCAGAGGGACACGCACCTGCAGCAAAGGTTCGTGCTGGGCTCTCGCGTCTCAGGCTCACCCAAACTGTGCTGAGGGTGAACAGGTTTGTGAAACGCAGCCGCTCCCTGTCCCTCTCCCTTTGGGTGAGGTCTCCTTGGCCAGAGTGCGCTGCTTTGTGTCTGAGGAGAGGCTTGGTCCTTTGCTGTCCTGCTGCAAAGCACCTGAAGCGCCGGTTGGGCGGCTGCTGCTGTTGCTGCAAAAATCCCGTCTCTTGTGGACGTGGATGATGGAGGGATTCGGGTGGGGATGGAGCTGGGGGGTCCTTGCTCCGGAGCCTCCAGCCCAAATACCTGGAGCGTCCTCACTCTTCGTTCTTGTTTGCATTGGGTATTTCCTTATTGCACTGGGGAGTGAATGATTAGCCCCTTGCTCTGTGCTGAGCGCTGGATTACAATGTTTGAGTTAGAGCTAAGCCCAAGTGCAAATTCCTGCATCCGAGGGTTGGGGTGGGAGGGAGGCGGCTGTGTCTGGCCCCCCACCCGCATCCCCAGCCCTCCTCTGGGCTGCTGTGAGTAACCTGGGGTGAAAACCTTCCCACCTCTGGCCTAAAAGCAGCCAGGTCTCAGAGGGGGAGGTTTAAAACCACTTTCAAAGGGTGTAGTTTCCATGTCTGTTGTACACACATGGCCTTGGGCGCAGCTTTTATGTGCTCTAGTGCCATCAAATTAAAATTCGGACCCAGGTACTAGTGTGTACTTAGCATTTCTAGGCAATGCCACACTGTCACCTTTGGCAAACTCCTCTACTGCTGGGCACCTGTAGTGTTGGGGTTATTAAAGTTAAAATTCTTGCTCTGGAAATAATCTTCCTCCTGCCCCTCCCCTGCTGAGCTGAGGGACGGTGCTGTCCGTGCAGACACGGCGGTTTGCCCGAGGCTCACACGCTGTGCATGAGGATTGGTGACTCCCATCCCCAGCCCGTGGTCAGTCCGGGGAGCGATGCCGTGGCTGTGGTGCCCGAATGACTAAAGAGCAGCATCAAAGCCTCTGAATTACCTTCAGTGCTTGCCTTTTTCCACAGAAGCGGGAGAACGTCTAATTTTCTCAGAGCATCAAATTAAAGTTGGAGAAGGCGAAGTCTGGCTGTGCAGAGTTAGTTCATCCCAGATTCATCCCGCTCTGGTCCCTGCCTGTGGCACAAAAGCACTTGCCGCTGAATTGGGCAATAAAAGGTCAAAAATGGAGCTTTGCAGGAGATTCACATCCCACGTGGAAAGCACTCGGGGCTCCTGGGCTGGCAGGCTACGGTTGGGGTGAGCCACCCCAGCTCAGCAATGCTCCTGGCTGCTGCACCCTCTGCCCCCTGCCCGAAAGCAGGGTGGGCTCCAGCGTGGCCCTCCGGGCTGGGAGGTGGTTTGCAGGGGCTGTCACCACTCTGCTCCCTGCCTTGGTTGCTCAGGAGGGATTTTTCTCCTCTCCCCACTATCCCCGTGCAGCAGGCAGGGCCCTTCGATGGGCTTGGTTTGGAGGGAGTCTGAAAGCACCTAGCTGGTGTGCGTGTGAGGGTGCGTGCCCTTCGGACCTTGCCAGATGGGGTGCTCCAGCCTGGACCCTTCTCTTCTGAGCACCTTCTCCTTCAGTCAGCTCCTTGTATCAGGGCCAGGAGCTTTTCTTCCAAGCCGTTGAGCTGCTCCAGGTATTCAGGTTTCAGCTGGCCACCAATACACCCTGCAGGTGTTTTTGTACATTATAGGGCCTTTGCATTGTGCTTGAGTGTGGAGGCACAGAGGAGAGCAAACCTTTCCATCATCCTGACACAGGCCCATTGCCTGGCGCTTTAGCCCGGCGTTCGTAGGGGACTGTCGCTTCTCCAACATGCTGTTGTTTGAGCAAAGCAGCTTTTTTGGGAGGCATGAAAGAAACCTACCCCAAAAGCTCCGATCTCCCACCCAGATTTCATGGGGTGTGTGCTGTGCTGTGTGTGCGAAGGTTGCCTTCCCAGGCAGGTGTTTAATTACCTCTCGTTGCCTGGTTAATGACCTAGGACATGTCTTGTTCAGATCCAATCGCCATGTTTGGGGGAGCAGCTCCTTTCAGTAGTGACTCTGGATAACAAAGCCAAATTTGCAGGCTGCATCCTGTAAGTTATAAACAAGTTTTCCAGACAAAGCGTCCTGAGAATCTGCCATTAGTGAATTTATTTAGTGCTATTACAGCCTTGCTAATCCTCTGGGGAGAGGAAAATCAGGCTAACGCGTTAGCTGCTGTAGGGAATTGCCGTGATGTCCTGCTCCTTAGCTCTAGGGCTTAAACTCCAAATAAGCTATGGGATGATGTAATGAGCATGGAGAGGCAATGGGGTGGGAAGCAGGTAGGTCCTTTTGATGTCTAAGGGTCTAGGGATGAGTAGTCCATGAAAGCCTTGGGACTGAGCTGTTGAAGCCATGGTGTGGTGCAAACGT